GCTGCAGGAGGCGGGCGAGCGACCTGCCTCGACTTGCGCCATAGTGGTCGAGGGGCTTAAGCGCCGCCCCCCCACTGTAGGGGGGCGGCCTAAGCCTTGAGTTTAGGGCTAGGGTTTAGGGTTTAGGGCTAGGGGTTTAGTGTTTTGGGGAAAAGCTTCTCTTCAACATGCTTTCAGGCCTGCGACCGCTGTGTGAGGGGCTTAGATACGGGTTTTCGTACATGATACCCTAAACCCTAGACCCTAAACCCCTAAACCCTAAACCCCTAAACCCTAAACCATAGACCCTGAACCCTAGACCCTAAACCCTAGATCCTAAGCCCAAACCTAAACCCTAAACAGAACCCCGGAAAGATGCCCCCGAAAAAATCCCTTCCGGGAGCCTGCAAAGGAGCCCCACAAGGATCCTTCAACGTTCCCTCTAAGGGAACCCGATTATAGAACCCTATAGCCATTTAACGGAATCCGATTATAGAGCCCTATAGAACTTGTACGTGTTTAAAGGGGATCCTATTATGGAACAATATAATACCCCTTTCAGGAGATGAAAACTTTAGAACCCTATAGTACCCTTTAAAGGGATCTTACTATAGAGCCCTATAGTACCCTTAAAGGGATCCTATCATAGAACCCTATGGTACCCTCTAAAGGCCATCTAGAGCTTCCAGGACTGGGGCTTCCGCTACGTCGCCGTGGGCTCCGGAGCCAAGACCGTCATGGCCATCGCGTCTCAAACTCGTGCCGCCTTCGCTCAGGGCACCTACTCAACCATGAAGGACTACTGAGGTTTTAAAGGGCTTAGGGTTTTTGGGGGTTTAGGGGTTTAGGGTTTAGGGCTGAGGGCTGAGGGTTTATGAGTTTTCGTTTTAGGGTTTCTGGAAGTACGGTTTGGCGCCTATAGGGCCTGGGGTTTAAGGTTTGGGGAGGAGGGTTTCACATTCAGAGCTTCTCGTTCTTCCATTCGAGGCTTGTGTGAGGAGGTGGGGTATACTCGAAACGGAACCCCATGTGCAGCCCCACCGTTCCTTTAAACCTTCCCACCTATAGTCTCCATTGCAGTTCCTTTTTGGGGTTACCCTTTAGGATCCTCAATATAAATTTGGTTAAACCAAAAAAAGAACTACAATGGAGACGATAGGCAGGACGGAGGCGCCTGTTTTGTAGATCTTGGCTATGCTCCACCCCGCTAAGCCTGTCCCCCTAAACCCTAAGCCCTAAACCCCTAAACCCTAAACTCTAAACCCCTAAACCCCTAAACCCTAGACCCCTAAACCCCTAAACCCTAAACCCCTAAAGCCCCTCCTAAGCCCCTAAAACCTCTGAACCCTGAAGCCTCACCACCCCGGCCTTTGCCAGGATGATGGCGACACTCAAAGGAAGGCTTCCGACCGACCGATGGTGCTGTCGGCGGCGCTGGCAGTCTCTTGTGCGAATACCAAAGCCAAGGGCTTTGGGTTTGGAGTTTAGGGTTTAGGGTTTGGGGTTTGTAGTTTAGGGTTTAGGG